ACAGATATAGATGCGGGGGGCGGGGCAGTTATTGTAGGAATTGTCTCACATATTATGTGGCGAAAAAGCCCCACAATCAGCATCTGCAAGCTGGAGAACCAGTAAGGCCTGAGAATGGGGGTGAAGGAATGCATGGTTCAAGTCCCCATCACACTGTAAATACACAAGAAACAGGAAGAGCAAAGCCCAGGGACAGAAAATGGATGCCTCAGCACAAGCAGAGACTGCACATTCACCAGCCTCTGCTTTTCTGTTGTATTCAGCCCTCTACTTATAGTACCAGATGCTTTCCACCCATACAGGGGAGAGCTTCTTTAACCAATTTGCCAATGGAAATGCTAATCTCTTCTAGAAACACTCTCTCAGACACACTGGCCATAATGCATTACCAGCAATCTGGTACCAGCTCATTCAGGTTGACATAGAAAATTCGCCATCATTGACCATGTCTGGTTTGCAATCATATGGTTGCACCATAGTCATGGGGGAGGGGGGGAGGTGTGTGAAGGCCAGTGGAACCCAATCTTGCTGGGCTAGAACCATCTGGGGAGCTTTATAGTATTCTTATGCCTAGTCTACACCTCAGGCCAATTAAAGTGGATTTTCCAGGGTGGGGGCCATGTACAGTATTTCTAAAAGATCCATGGGTGATTCCATTGTCCAGCCAAGAGAAGAAACCACTGGAAAGGGATTTTGGTGTCTGAAAACCCTTTTATTATCATCAGAATGCTGATGGCAAGGCCACCTGCAGTTACTGTACCCTGCTAGGGGCCACCACACTCCTCATTTCCAGATATGTACCTTGTGGCGCTCCGTGGGTCTCCTAGTTTTTCCCTCCACTGGCTTCTCACTGCACAAACAGCAAACTTGAGCCACTTGGCCTGCAAGAGTCCCTTCTGTCTGACTTTTGAATCTGAGGAAGGAAAGCTGGCATAAGGAGATGAACTCTGCAAGTGGACACCCCAAGGCCAAGGGCTGGTTCTACCTTATGGGCTCTGGCACTTGAGAGAAGTGCCAGCCTTCACTGTCTCTTCTATAAAGGCCAATTTGGGGGTTTTGCTGTTGTTGTTATTTTATATTTATTTTTTTACATTGTTAATTTTGGGGTACGTTTGATTTCTCCCCTCAGGTGTTGTCATCATCGTTCTCCCACAACAGCACCCATGAGCCATCACCTAGTCCCTTGTGTTCCGCCCTCCCCTGTTTTGATCCCTCTCCTTCTCTATCCCTTGTTATATGCCTCAGACCTATGCTCAACTTGCAAGCTTTGACTTTTTCCTGACCTTTGTTCAGTTTCTCTATATTTTGCATCTGAGTGTAACCATCAATATTTACCTTTCCCCATCCGTTTTACTTGGTTTAGCATAATCCCCTCCAGCTCAATCCATGTTGCTGCAAATGACATTAGTTTGCCCCTTTTGGTGGCTGAGTAGTATTCCATTGTGTCCATATCACATCTTCTTGATCCACTCATCTGCACTGGGGCATTTAGCTTGTTCTCTTATCTTGGCTATTGTAAACAGTGCCTAAAAAAAATAGGAGTATAGGTTTCCTTTTGGATTAGTATTATTGTGCCCTTTGGGTAGATTTCTGGGAGTGGAATCATTGGGTCAAATGGTAGATTCATTTTTAATATTTTGAGGAGTCTCCAAACATCTGTAAAGGCCAATTTGCCATAGGATTAAACTGGACAATACACATGCATCTATAACACAACACTCAAATCCTTCCCCTCCCCTCTACTGTACAGGCCACTCAACTCCTCCTCTGGACTCTGCAGGAACACACATCCTTGACACCTGGCACTACAGCACCTTCTGTCACCAGGAGCCAATGTCTTCACCTTAGAGACTGTGTTGCTCTTTCACTACATGGTTTATTTCCTGCACCGCCTGTATTCATGTGCTTCGGCTGCTCTAAGTAAAAGTGCTACTTGGGTGACTTTTATTCCTAGGGTGAACAATGTTGCAATGAGCAGAGGGCATATATCCTTTTGGGTTAGTGGTTTTGTATTCTTTAGATAGATACCTAGGAGTGGAATTGCTGGATCATATCTTTTTTTAATTTATGGATTGTTTTTGAAGTAGTTTTGTTCTTCATCCTTGCCAAAATTTTGAAAGGATTCCTTCCCCCAACCCTCCAAGTTGTGGTCACCTTAGCTCCCCACCAAGGTCTATAGGTGCTTCCCCCCACTGAAATACCCTTTATCTTCCACCAAAGACCATTATGCTTCTCCTCCCTCGCTCCCCTCCCTCTCAGAAAGCCACATATCTATGGTCAGCTGCGATACCACAATGGGTGACTTAACATATGCCATCTCACTTTCCAGAGGCTGGATGTTTGAGATCCAGATGCCCTCTAGACAGCAGGGAAGGGTCCATGCCTCTGCCTCTTGGCTTCTGGTGGTACATTGGCCATAGGACCGGTCACCCTGATATCTGCCTTCTTTCTCACATCTTCTTGTCCCAGTGTGTACCTCAGTGTTCCAATATCCTCTTTTGATAAGGACAGCCACATTGGATTAGGTGCCTCCTGCAATGAACTCATCTTAACCAATTACATCTACAACTCTACATAAGGTCACATTCTGAGGTCTTGGGGGCAGGTATTAATTCAATAAATTTGTAGGGGTGGTGCACCATTGAATACATAACTTAGCCTTTACCTCTGCCTGGAATAATGTGTTTTTATCAACATTGTGTAGCCTTATCTTTCATTATTTATATTGTCTGATTTTTCTCTAAGAGGCATGCTATGCCTTTCTAATAAGAAAGATAATAAAAGGCAAAGGAATATGGTAATGTGCTATGAGTGCTGTGGTGGTGGGATAACTATGATGACCTGAGGGGAGAAATCATATATTACCCCAAAATGAAAACAAATAAACAAATCTTCCCCTACGCACTGTGATGTGGGTATCCATCACCTGTTGTATACTGGAAGCTCCATGGGAACAGGACCATGCTTTTGTACCCCCAAAACTAATTCTATATTTGGTGCAGTTCTATACCTGCTGGCTATATTGAAATTAAATGATTATATACATTAATTTCTCAAGAAATTGTTCTCAGAGTCTTCCAAATATACATGTGACACATTTTCCCATCAATCTGGAAATCTAAGCAAAAGAATGCTGACAGTCTAGGCTATTAAATGACTCCAGAGTGTACAGTGGCGCTACCAACTTTAATGATATGTAAGGCATCTTCAAAACCAAAACACAACGTGTGGCCACCAGTCATGTCTTGGAAAAAATTAGACTAGTGGGGTCATCACCCAACCCCTGTGAATCAAACTGCCACATTTCACCTAATCTCCTAATTAGGTAGTGTTTGCAAAACCTTTAGAGGCAGGCAAGTGTTACATTAAGTGCTAAGTAGTATTAATTAATAATATCAGTAGGTTGCATGGGCTGGTACTTATTGTAAATGTGAATTTCTAGGCTTGTTAGCACAATACTTGGAATTAGTAGTCAGCTATACTTTAAAAATTGTTTTAAATTTTTATAGTTTCTGGCTTTCAAAAAGTACCCTCATAATCTTTGCATTTTCTAACTTGACAAAACTTTAGACATCGTCTAACACAGTATCACCAACCCCATTAGACCCAACACCTCTTTCCTTGTAATAAATGTCTTGTCTCTCTTCATTAGTATCCTGAAGCAAAATGCACAGCCACGCTACCTGCCTATAAAACATTTGAGCAGGCAAACAAGACTCTGGAGCAGAAGCAGTTGTCAGGAGCTTGCTCTATATGTGGTCTCATTGCTCAGGACCCGCCCTAAATGGCAGGTGCACTGTGTAGGGGAGGAGCACTGATGCCATGAGAAGCTTGGTTTTTTGAAGTAGTAAACCACTCTTAAATTTCAGACCACTGCCCTTCAATTTATTCTATAGTTGCATCTCTGAAAATTCCCTCTGAAAATTCTCTGAAAAATGCACTTGTATTTTTAAACCATTCCAAAACATCCTATGTGTTTATATGTAAAATAGTTAGACTTTTATTAATTTATTTTTATTTTCTTACATTGTTCATTTTGTACAATATTTGACTTCTCACCTCAGATGTAGTCCCCATAATTCTCCCACCACCACAGCACCTGTGACCATCACCACAGTCCCTGTGTTCTTCCCTCCCACTTTGACCTCCTTCTGCTGTATGCCTGAGATCTATGATCTGTCTACAAATTTTGACACTTTTCTGATCTTTTATTCCTCCTATATTCCCCCTAATGAGACCATCTGACTTTTTTTTTTTACTCCTGACTTTAAAATAGTTAGATTTTAGATTCAGATCATCAGCAATTTCATCTAAAGAATATCTGATACTTTACACTTTTATGGTGACATTCCAAACATTTATCATCTCTGTGGCCTGCCCACCAAATGCCAGTGGCACCCCTGAACCCCAAACTTTGGAAGAAAAAAAGTGTTCAAAATGTAGTTTGTGTCATTTGAAAATAAAGTTCCAAAATGACCCCATGGAGAGGCACCATCCCTATTATAGAGTAACTGATCTAATTTACATCCTTGTGTTAAAATGAGTGTATTTCATCCCTCCAATATATCCCCAAGAATGACAGACCAAACTTTGACTGAAGCAGGTAAGAATTTCAAGTTTAGACAGATGGACATTTCCTTGTGCCAGTCGCTGTCTTAAGATCCTTTCCTACGTAGAATTTAATTTAACCTTCACATCAACACTAAGGGAGAGACTTTACGCTCTCCATTACACAGTTGAAACCGAGGCACAGAGAAATAAAGTAACTCAGCCAGGGCAGGAACTGAGAGAGCCTTATTTCAAACCATCTCTTCAGGATGACTACGTGACACAGTGCAAACTACAGACTGTGGTTTAGAACTCCCGGGGCCACAGAGGGAGAAACGTGAGTGCCTGGGATAGAGCAGTCTTCCAGCCCCACATTGACCTTCAGCCGCATTCACAGTCAAGGCTTGTTTCTCCGTTGGCCTTACCTCCTCCTTTCTTGACTTTTCTTACAGACATTCATGCCCAGGAGACGGCTGCCTTGGGACACTTTGGATCTTTCCTAAGAGAGAGATCCCTGCCCACTAGATGAGTCCCAGAAGCACCCACTAAGGCTTCCAGAGCCCTCCTCCAACAGTCAACCTTCACGGTAACACCCCCAACGCGCAGGATGAGTGGCCTCCTCGCCTCCCTGGACCCCCGGCGGGTGCAATGGGGGGCTGCCTGGAACGCCATGCACTCCAGAATCCTGCGCACCAAACCAGTGGAGTCCATGCTGGAGGGCACAGGGACCACCTCAGCACATGGCACCAAGCTTGCCCAGGTGCTCACCACTGTGGACCTCATCTCGCTTGGTGTTGGCAGCTGCGTGGGCACTGGGATGTACGTGGTGTCTGGCCTGGTGGCCAAAGAAATGGCAGGCCCCGGTGTCATTGTGTCCTTCATCATAGCAGCTGTTGCATCCATATTATCAGGTGAGTGTCTTGGTGCAGGGGAAGGTCTGTGGAAAGCCAACCTGCTGACCAACTGCCATTTATCCCACTCTTCTAGAATATTTACTGGTGAGATTTCTGAAGTGGCTAATAAGAGGTATTCTTGCCCTTTTCTGCCAGGGAATTCGGTTCTAGGTCTTGATTCAGTTGTAATGACTTCCCCTTTTTCTGTTTTTTTTTTTTTTTAATAAAAATCATTCTTCCGGCACTCACCCATCTCCCAACTCCTCATCACCAGTCCCCCCCCCACCATCGTATTACCACAGCTCTGTTCTTATTATGACACCCCCCCCCTTTCACTGGAAGGTAAGTCAGTCCCATTGTGGGAAGGTAGATACAGCTATGGTGTAAATAATAATAAAGGATAGGCAGAGTTGCAAAATTCTAAGTCAGTGAATCTCACATGATTAGTGTTCAGTGAGCAAAAATTAGTTCTGCAACCTCCCAAGTAGGGGGAAATCAAGCCCGAAATATAAAGCCATTGTAAGAACCCCAAGGTACCATTTGTCACTGCACTTTGGCATACTGATGTTCTACACAGGTAGCTCAACTCAATCCTTGTCTCCCCTTGAGAAAGAATCATAAAACTCATTTTTTTAATGAGGTGCCCAGACTCACATATTGATAATTTGTGAAATTCCTCTCCTATTCCCTTCCTCTCTTCGCACCTCTTCTCATGAATTGCAAACCCCAGAATCTTCCCAGAATGCCATGGATAGGTCAGTGGACAACTGGAAAAAGAAACAAATGAAAATATTTCTGCTGCTTGATGGTTATTTTGCAAGAGCGTGAAGTTTACTGAGCTATGGGGAGGCAGCACATATAGCATAACTTACATAGTGGAGGTGAACATCATGGTCCCTTCAAAATGTTTCAGGCAAAGTAAGATTGCTAAGATGTGTATAGGACATTCTGTGTACTCGGGCAGAACATCCCAGGTTCTACATTCATATCACACTGCATCTCAGAGAGCTCCTTTGTGTGGGATATACAATGAACACGCAATGGCTTACTTTTTCATCTTTTTAATTTGATGAGGAAAATATTCCCAGGCTAAGTTTGTTTCCCTCCTGCCACAGTTGACTTTCCCTCTTGGTTTCACCACTCACCACACCCTCTCCCTGAAATCATTCTCTGCCTGAATAGCCTAATGATTTAGGTTCCTGTAGAATAGATGGGTTGTTTTTTCCTTATAGATAAAAACAAATTATTCAAAGGGATGCATTCCGTGGATACCTGAAATTCCATTAACCTGATTGCAATCATTTTCAAACTTCTTTGGTAAAGAGATTATTTGGGAGAAGATGCCAGATTCTTACCATATCTGAACTATACATATCTGAAATTGTTAACATATAGAACAGAATAGTGTGGGAAGACAAAAGGCTGATGTGTGATCAGGGAGTGTTGCACAGGGCACAGGGTGACAGCTTAAGACTCCTGCCCAGCTAGTACAGACTGCATAGTCTTCTCTGGACCTCTCTTCTCATAGCCCAGCTCCTTCAAACCACAATGATTCCTGAGAATGAATCACCTACATCTGTTCTTTAGGATGCTACATTATATTTTCCTGAGAAGGAATCACCCAGGTCTGTGCTTCAGGTGCTACATTATATTTAGGGACCCACCTCCCTCCCACAATGTTCACGCATGCTGTGGCCTAAGCTTTGCTGCAATGCAGGGCTGAGATGGGCCTGTTCACACCAGCTGCCAAGAGCTCCAATTACACACCCCTCTTTCTAACTGTGCATTCAATGAGGTCATAAGGTGTAATCAGTCATGGTGGGGGTACTTACACAGGAGAAATTGGCAGATACTACAAATCAGACCTTGTTTCCACAGAGTCAGTTGCTAAACATTTATCAGCACACATGCTACTGCCCACTTCCATCAAAGCCCCTGGGAATGTCCAGCGGTGCCCTCCGCAGGCCAAGGAACATCCCATCCTGCCTCAGTCAAGGAACCGCCCTTCCCATAGGGCCACACCCATGGCCTCCTGTGCTCACTTCAGGCGCATCTTCCTGCTGAGTCCAGCTAGGGTACTCCCAGGCCCCCAACTAGAGCCAGAACCAAAACAACACACGTCAAAGTTTAGCATACTTATGGCAGGATTCACCAACCAGACCTGTCACTCTCTGATCCTTTGTCGCTAAAGAATTCCCCTCCACTGTCTCTCTCTACACCCACATCACCAGCCTGTGTTGCTTCTCACTTAACCAAACTTCCCATTGCTTCTCCATACAAACACTCCTCTATCTTCAGGTTTCTTCTCTGAAAGCTGGGTATTTGGGGTTTTATTTCATTTTTAAATGTATTATTTTCTATTGAAATAACCCTGCATTATATTATATAAATGCCAGATGTGCATCACTGAGTCAGCTTCTGCATATACTACATTAAATTTATCATACAAATGACCCTGTTAACCCAATTTATACCATTTCTCCTTCCTTTCTGGTAACTACAAACTACTCTTAGACTTGCAAAATCAACTTGCATTTTATATAGTTCATTCATTTGTTTTAGACCTCTATATAACATATATGATTGGAATTACATGTTTGTCTCTCCTTTGATTTATTTCACTAAATCATAAGACCTTCGAGGTCCGTTCATGTTACAAATGGCAGGATAATGATTTTTTTTTTTTAAGATCTGTGTGTGTGTGTGTGTGTGTGTGTAATGTTTTTTTTATTCACTCACTGCCCAGTTGGCATTTGGACTGTTTCCAGCTCTTGACTATTGTAAATAATGCTGCAGTAAACATGGATGTACATATATCCCTTTGAATTAGTGCTATTTTGTGTGCAGATACTTAGAAGTTATCTTTGGGCTTTCTGATACATGGTTCTCTTTTCCTCTTGGCTTAACTAAAACCTGGCTCAGGCCCTCCCTGGTGGTGCAGCGGGTTAAAGCACAGCACAAAGAAGCTTAAGCCACTTCCGCATGAGTTCAAACCCACCTACCTGGGAGGAGATCCACATGGCGTGGCAGACCTCTCCTGGCCCGCCCGCTGCTCCCCTCAACAGTGTACTTCGTCAATCTGCCTGTTCTGCT